TGGAGACACGGCTGCCTCCTTGTCTCAGCTTCCACCTGTTCGCTCACCTCACCCCCAGCTTCCCTCACCACCTGCCCCATCCTCTCCCTGTGTCCCAGCTCCACGCTGTTGTGGGTTGAGCTGTATTCCCCAGAAGATACGCTTATAAATGCGACCTTACTTGGGAATAGGGTCTTTGCAGGTGATCAAGTTCAGATAAGGTCGTGAGGGCAGACCTTACTCCAGGATGACTGGCGTCTTTATATAAAGGGGACATTTGGACACAGACACGCACAGACCTGGGAGCCGTCCAGCTCAAGCCTGGGAGAACCAGACCGAGGAGACAGGCAGGGAGCAGGTCACTGACTGGAATCGGGCACCTGTTCTGCCCAGTCTGCTGGGGGGGACGGCAAGGTTACGGAGTGTGGCTGCCGCTCAGAGGTCCCCTGGAAGGAGGGCGGGGGACCAGCTCCCTCAGAAGGACCAGGGGACCTGCCAGGAAGACAGGGGCGCAGACTTCCATGCGGAGGGCTCACGGCGCATCCCTTTAGCCAACAGTTGGGGCTTCCGAAGGAGAAGGGACAAAGACAGGAGGAGATGGGGCGCGAAGAGGCAGCTCTGTGAATCAGCCTGTCTCTGCCCGGCGTGAAGTCGTTCGCTGTGGCTGAAATAAGAAGATGGTATAACTGGAAAATACGCACTTGAACTGGTGACTCAGCTCCTCCTGACCCCCGGGGAGTGTGCTCCATAAATCAAGAAGCTACTCCAGCACCTCCTCCCCAAGCGTTCCCACAGCGGCGGGTCCTGGAGACGCCTTTAGCAGAACTGACAGGCACCCCGTGGCGAGAGATTTAAAGGCATATTTGGTACTCCAAGAAGCTTCCTGATGGATGGCCTCAGCCCTTGACCCATTAATTTTTACTGCCTAACCTGCCTAGTTTTATTTCCTGGCACAGCTTGTAAATTTTGTTTTTCATATTTAGCAGCCGCAGCTTAAGGCTACTGAGAAGCAGGGTGGCCAGAGGTGCTTAGTGTAATCTACACTGCAGCTTTGAAAGACTTAGGTTTTAAATGTGTTTTAAATTTATTGAGCTGCCCTTTATTCTTCCCACCAACTCTTACTTGGGACCCAGTTTAGAAACCAGGCTACAGAGATGGTATTCTGCCGCCAGCCGCCATGCTGGGAGCCCCGGGAACCTCCTCATCCCCTCCCTCCCTCCCTCCCTCCCGGCCCCTCCCGCATCTGGGCCTCCCAGCCCTCCCAGAGCAGGTCACACTTTCCATTTTAAAGGGGAGTAAAGAAAGGATCCAAGAAGAGAAAGGACTTACCCAAAGTTCCAAGGACACTGGACCAAACCCCTAATGGGCTCACTCCCTGCGAACATGTCCACCGGGCACAGGGCTGGACACCGGGACATGCGGACAAGGAGGACACCGTCTACCCGAGGGAAAGGACAGTCGGATGGTGTGTGGGAGAGCGGGGCTGGGGACAGGTGGCGACCCCAGCAGCAGCCCCATAAGAAGAGCTCCCGTTTGTGCGCCTGCACCTACCACGCACCAGCCCCTGGCAGCGCACCTCATTTGCTTGTTGCCGTCGGACCCTCACAGCACCCTCGGGGGCGAGTGCTGTTACCCTCCCCCTGTGTAGGTGACAAAACCCTGTCCGGTGATTTTCAGCTTTTCACTCCCGCAGCTGAACCCTGTCTTCGAGGGAACTCTTACATGAAACCCCAAATAAACAAATAAGGTAAAACCGGGGGCAAGCCCCCCCCATTATCCTCTTCTTCTTAATATTCCCCCCACAAGGGCCCCAGAGGGGCTCCCTCAGAGCCCGAGATCTCCTTCCATGCAGTTTGAGGACCACGCATGTGATCCAGTTCTTGGAGGCTTCCAAGAGGCCTGGGTGACAGGCAGGATTGCCCGGTCCATCTCCGCTCATTTTGCAGAGGAGCAAACGGAGGCCCAGAGGCGGAAGCCCGGAGAGCGTGCCCTGGGGCGTCACCCCGCAGCTGTCACTCCAGCCCGAGGCAGAGGCGGAGACCGAGCGTGAAGTGGCCTCCCTGATAACACACGGTTTTCACCTCCCTCCCACCCTGTTTCTCCTCCCCACCTCCAGTTCCCCCACGTCACCCACCTCAGGGGGAGAGTCTTGCTTCAGAGAGACCATCCCTGGGAGCCAAGTGGATGAGTGTGGCTTGCAGCTGAAGTTTACCTTAGGAGTTCTGTATCCCGCTCAGCTTACTTACTGTCATGCCTCATCACTCTATAATATTCACGGGACACTTGACTTTAGAAATCCTCTGAAATGGGCCCTGACTGCTGTGGCTCCATTGGTTGAGCATTGTCCTGCACACTGAGAGGTCACAGGTTCGATTCCTGGTCGGGGCACAGGCTGGGTTGTGGGTTTGGTCCCCAGGTGAGGTATGTGCAAGAAATGGCATATCAACGTTCCTTTCTCTCCCTTTCTCCCTCTCTTCCCCTCTCTCTGGAATAATAAAAGAAAAAAATCAAATTCTCTGAAATTGGATTTTTGAGTTCAATAGCACTTTGGAGTGTGTGAGTGAACCATGAACTTTCTTGATCCTCAGGAAACTTAATGATTGCTCCCCCCAGGGTGGCCTCTCTGGAGGTGGCCCACCACCCAGCCCTGACCCTTCTTTGGTGGACTCCAGAGTTGCCACCTGCTTCTCCCTTCCTGCTCCCTCCCACTTCCTTTTCTCCAGCCTGGCTTTGACCTGGATTCCTTTCTCCCCGGCCGCCTCTTCTGGGCTCATCCCTCTTCCAGGGCCGTCCGTGCCTTTTCCCCAAGGGTTTCAGTGCAGAGCATCTAGGAAACGAGTCCGCGGGCAAAGACAACAAGCAGCGGAAGCTCCCAGGGTTGCAGACCTGTTCTAGCAGGTCCTGTCCCTGTGCCCCTTCTTGGGCAAGTCTGAGCAGCCCCCTCTTGTGACCCAGAGGTGAGCGGAAGGCTGTTTTCCCAACGTCATTTCCTGAGCTTCCAGTTCCAGGAACAGTTTTCTGAGAGACGTGGTCTCATGGTCCACAGGACGGGGACATTCTGCACGTAAGCTGTCCCTCTCGGGGACATCCGTGCGTGGGAGCAGCACCAGCGGCTCCGAGAAGCCCTGCAGTCCAGAGGCCTGTGGACCCTCCTGTGGCCCGAACCCTGTTGGAGCACCAGAAACGTGCTTTGCAGCCCATCTCAGAGACACTAATTGGGAGGTTCTGGAAGATTCTCAGCCCTCAATTAGTGTTTCTCTTGGCCCTGGGATGGAGACCTCTCCTGGCTCCATGTAGGAAAAGTCAAATGAGGTTATTCTCTGAGAGCCTTCAGGAGGATTTGTCCCATCGACACCAGAGCATTGTCCGCTGCTGGTGCTTTCTTTGCAAGTAAATAGAAATGAATGGGGGGGGGCATTTATGGTCTGAATGTTGCATTCTTGGGGTCTGGTCAAAGGATGACGTCAGGCCAAGACGAGCCATTCTTCAAGGAAACGATGGCACCGGGGTGTTCTGTGTTCGGGAAGCAAGTTCTTTCTCATCAAGCCAGCTGTCGCATGCCTGGGCCTCTACAGAAGTGCCCAATCATGTGCGAACTTACCTTAATGATGTGTACCTCTGCTTCCTGTACTAGAGGCTCTTTCTGGTAGCTTAGTGAACTTCAGTTTTAGGTTATTTCTAATTACTTTAATTATTTTAAATTGACAACGAATCCCACCCTTTTGATTGATTACTTGGTTTTCTTTTCCTCGATTTTGTTTCTCTCTGTCCTGGAAAATTCCATGAGTCATTTCACAGATGAGCCATGGGTTGTGTTTATTTGTTTGCATGTGTGTGTGTGGGGGGGTGTTCTGAAAACATATACTGCTGTGAAGAAGGTGATGCTGACTGTATGAGTTTGCCGGGGGGTGGGGTGGGGCGGGGCATAACAAAGTATCACAGGCAGAGCAGCTCAAACAACAGAAATCTATTGTCTCAAAGTTCTAGAGGCTAGAAGTTCAAGATCAAGGTATCAGCGGGGTTGGTTCCTTCTAAGGGCAGTGAGGCTCTGTCCCAGCCTCTCCCCCCGCTTCTGGCGGTTTGCCAGCGATCTTCAGTGTTCCTCAGCTTGTGGAAGCATCACCCTGGTCCCCGCCTTGGTCATCCCCACGTAGTATTCTTCCTGCACACATGTCTGTCCAAACTTCCTCTTTTCATAGGGACACCAGTCATGTCAGATCAGGGGCCCATCCTTCCCACCGTGATCTCGTCTAAACTTAACTAATTATATCTGCAAGGACCCTATTTCCAAGTAGTGTCCCATTCTTACTTGCAGTGTGGTACTGGGTCCCTGCAGTACTGGGGGGTTAGACCTTTAAATGTGATTTTGGAGGGGACCCAATTCTGTACAGCATCCCACAGCATTCAAGGAAGGCCGCAGGACCTGCCTCACCTTTCAGCTCCCTGTAGGTTGACGGTCACGTGGGAATAGGTTCCAATGCAGAGAGGCCAGCAGCTTCCACAGCAAGCTAACGTTCCTCTCCAAGTGGAGAAGGGCCCAGAATCCCCATTCAGGCTGTCTGACTGGGCCAGCACTGGCAGGTAGAGAACTGGAATCGGCTTCATTTCAGTGAAAAACTTCCTGCCGTGTGTGCAGCCCCGGGCTGGGCCCTGGAGAGAGTGGGGTGAAGCGAACCCAGACCCTGCCATGCACAAGCCGGGGGAGGCAGATGTGCCAGCCGTGTGGACGGGCGTGGACCCATTTCTGGGATGAGCTTGGCTTTGTGAGGCTCCACAGAGGAGGTTAATCACCGGTTGTTCATATTTCATGGCTGTGCCAATACAGTCAGTTATGATTCATTAAATCACATGCCCTCAGTTTTTTCTGGAATTAGTCCAACTTAGGGCAGTATTCCACTGTAGCGATTGCTCTCCTGACGATTCATAAAACATGCTCTGGCCGCCATGTGGATGACGAGCCTTTATTTCCTCTGAGAGCAAATCCAAAAAGGGTCTTCCTGAGATCTTTCTCTTCCTGGCAGGTCTTAGGTCAGCCCCGAAACTCAGAAGGCAAAGACAAGTTCTTCTACGATGTCGTACAGACGAGAACTAGAGAAATACCGCGACCTGGATGAAGATGAAATCCTCGGAGCCCTGACAGAGGAAGAGCTCAGGACTCTGGAAAACGAGCTGGACGAGCTGGACCCTGACGTGAGTAGGCACTAAAGGGGACCTCCTTGTCACCGGCACAGGGACATCAACCATGTCCGCCTGGGGAAGGGACAGGTGCGGACTTCCTGAAACTGCCACCTCCACCTTCTTCTGTGGCATTCACATTGGAATCACATTGCCTTTGTGGGCGTGTGTGTGTGTGTGTGTGTGAGAGAGAGAGAGAGATGTATTCGCCGGGGCTCTCTAACAGAACCAATGGGACGTATATACACATAGAAAGAGATTTATTGTAAGAAATTGGATCACACGATTATGGAGGCTGACGAGTCCTGAGGTCTGCAGTCAATGGGCTGGAGACCCGGGAGAGTGGATGGTGTGGTTTTAGTCCAAAGACTGGCAGGCTTGAGACCCAGAGAGAAAAAATCAATACATCTTATATTACATGATAGAAGAATAAGAGGGGGAAAAAAACAAAGATGTTTGCCTCACACACACACCTGAAAACGTATTTATAACACAATAAGAAGGAAAGACTCATGATAATTGTAGTTCTTGTTTCTCTAATGGGCCACGTGGTTACATAGCTGGTCGTTATATTTACCTTCTTCCACTACCTATTCTGTATTCCCTTTGCTTTCAGCAAGCACCTACCTGGTCATGGTCCTTGCCTGGTTGGATGCCCAGACCTTCATTCCCAAAGGATCTGGGCCATCGGTGGCCCTGCCTAGGCTGGGTTGTTGCAGGCTTTCATTGACTTTAATCTCAGGGCACGGGGATACTAAGAATGCCCTAAGTGTCCTCCTGTTGCAGACATATGCTTCCTTACCTCCAGTTTCCCCTTGGTGTTTAGGATCAGTCACCCCAGCCAATGCGGAAACTCCTTCTCTGCCTGTTCAGAGCTATGAGGAGCCCCAAGTGGCCGGGCATGGGTCTTAACTTCCAGTCCAATAGAATCATTGTCGTGTCTCTTGGAGGAAGCATTTCTCCCTTTGGACTAAGACCCCCTAGGCCAGCAGAGTATAAGGTCACAGGAACAAGAAGCAAAACTTTAGTCAGTGAGTCACTAGGGGTATTAATGAGTGGTACCTCCCCATCTCTACCCTTGATTCCTGGACCCGTGAATCCTGGATGGACCCTGTATGAACACTGACTCAGAGTGTGTGCAGACTCCGAGGAGCCCTGCAAGGTATTGCCCACCAGCTTGCTCCATCACTGAGTCTGCAAAAGCCCGTCCCACCGTTCCACCCAGGCAGCGGCCTCAGGGTGCTGGGGAAATGTGTGTTGCAGAATGAACTCACTAAGAAACAGAGGACTTAGAAGGGTCTCTTTCACTTGTGTGATGTTTTTATCATTGCATTTCATAGCTGGCCCACTTAAGAAGTGTGTTTCATGCTCAGAATTCACCTCTGCTGCTAGGGCCACAGCACCAGAAGGTGGGAGGATCCCTGGTCACCTCTGTGGTTTGCTCACCCCATGGGGCCTTGAGTGGGGTCAGGGACTCCCAGGTGGCCTACTAGACAGGTCCCACAGCTCTGCCTCAGGTGTGCAGGTCAGCGCCCAGAAAGGAGAAGGTGGATAAAGAATGTTATTGAATTCAGTGAATTTTCCATGTGATATATTTTTAAATTAACAAATGGAACATTTTGTGCTTTTTTAAAAAACTTGTCATCATTGAACTCTAGTTTAACAGTGATCTGTGAAAAAAAAGAACACTTCTATCATGTTGGCCAAAAAGCCCATTACATTTTTTTCCTGTAAAATAAAAAACACATTTTTCATCTACACCAATAACTTTATTGTTTTGGATATATTGAGTATGTCAGCTATCTCCCGGTATTAGCATCTGATGGGTAGAGGCCACGGGTGCTGCTAAACATCTTCCAACACATAGGACAGCCTCACAGCAAAGAATTATTTGACTAAAATGTCAATAGTACCAAGGAACTTCTCAAACTTTTAAAAAAACATTTTATTTATTTTTAGAGAGAGAGGAAAGGAGGGAGAAAGAGAGGGAGAGAAACATCGATTTGCAAAGAGAAACATTGCTTGGTTGCCTCTTGCACGCCCCCAAGCAGGGACCTGGCCCACAACCCAGGCATGTGCCCTGACTGGGGCTCAAACCGGTGACCTTTTGGTTCACAGGCTGGCACTCAATCCACTGAGCCACACCAGCCAAGGTGAAACTTCACAAACATTTGACATGTTCAGTCAGTCACAGCACCTTCTCCACACACTACACAAATCTTGTTGTTGCATTTCAGTTGCATTTTTTACCTTTCTTGAAATAATAAAGCACAGTACTCCAAAAATGTTGCATATACTCTTCCATCTCCAATATTAAAATGGCAGCACAAAAATTTACCACTTTTGATAAGTTTTTTAAAAATGCACACTGATGTGACAGCTGTCATAATACAATTTAACAAAATTGTTTCAAACAAAGTTAAAGACAAGGGCTACTAGAGCCATTTTATGGAAAAAAACTAAACAAACTTCTGGTTATCCCAACATACTGTTTCCCTAACTCTCGAGTACTCGCAGCTGGCGTAGAGGCAGCGTAGGTTTGCAGGGGAAATGCAGGACTAGAGGTTAGATGCCCCGTCCCAACCCTGGCCCTGTCTCTCACACTCCTCGTGGCCTTGAACCTGAACTGGTTGCTGCCCCTGTCTAGGCCTTAGTGTCTCCAGGGCCAAGCTTCCATGAGCGTATCACCTGGTCTTATCTCCAGATTTAATTATGTGGCTTCTTTCTAGGTGACCCAGAATCCTTGTCTAGGGGCCCTGGGCCCTAGGCCCCGTAGAATAATGACGAGTCCCTCCAGCAGCTCACTGTCATCTTGCTGCCCACCGCTCCCCCTGCCCAGCCGTGAGGGGGCGGGTCCACCAATGAGGTTGTTCCAGGTGATGAGAAAGCAGCCTTGGTGGGAGAGCCCTGGGCTCGTCCCCTTCCTCTGCACCATGGCTCTGCCCTGTTAGCCCCGCTGCCTCAAAAACTAGCGACGTGGGCAAGAAAAAATGAAGTTTCCAGCTTTATTGCTGTACAGTTATTCCGTTCCAACCATTGTATCCTAGATCACTGCTGCAAGAACAAACAGCTTTAACAAGTGAGAACAGAAGAGGGGTGTGCTGCCTGTAGTGGACTCGGTAAAGGTGGCTCGGTCACTGGCCGGGCACTAGGCCCTGTGCTGGCCGCCCACAGGGGAGCCTGGGGCGGGGTCTGCCCCGAAGGCGCTCAGCCCGGAGGGCGGTGGGTGTAATATTAACTGTGCTCTGAAGGGCAGCAGGTGGAAGCTCAGGGAGAGGGTTAATTCTCACCGGTGGGAGGCCTCACAGAACAGGTGACACTGGAACTGGGCCCTGGACTTTTCTAAGTCAAGAATAAAACAAAGAACTCCAGGCCCAGTGAAGGCCAAGGGCAAAGGGTCTTGCACAGAAGGGGGTGGGGAACAGGGAGTCTTGGTGTGGTTTCAGTGGAGGGTGAGATGAGCCTGGAAGGGGTTTGGGCCAGAGGAGGCGGGGAGCAGGCTACTGAAGGGTTGGGGTTTTCTCAGTGGGGCTGGGGAAACCTGGGGGGGCAGTGGTTTGGTGGGCTTGCTGTCTTAGGACAGAGGGACTGGTGGGGGTGCCCAGGAGATGGGGGGCAGGGAGAAGGGGCTCCCTGGGAGCCCCTGTGGTCCTACCCAGCCTGTGGTGGGAGAGTTCTTTTCTGGTGATAAGAAAGGGCTCCTGCCCGTCCCCCCCACACTCCCGACATGTCGCAGAGTCTCAGCTCTTCCCAGGGCAAAGGGCAGACCCCCAGGGCCCCCGCCCCCAGGCCTGCTGCCTCTGGCCTTCGGGACTGCCGGCATTGCCCTGAGCCGGCTAGAGGGGCATGAGGCTGGATTAGGCTGTGACTGAAAATCGAGCAGGTGATGGCAGAGGTAGTGGGGAGCACCAGGCCTGCAAGTGGGGAGGGGGCAGGTGCAGGAGCCCCTCAGAACCCAGGGTAAAGTCCCCAAAGACTGCTTGATTTCCAGCTGGGAGTTCTGTTTCACTTCTAAACCGGCAAAGAGCTCCCACAGCGCCCCGACCCCAAATATCAGGCATCCGGCCTCAGCAGCAATTCCCAGGGCCTCTGTGCCTCTCACACAGCCAGCTGCCCTGAGCCCTTCCCCAGGGTGGGGGGGTGGGGGCGCTCAGCAGGAAGGGAGGCCTGTGTCCACTGGAGGGACAGAGAGCCTGGGGCTCCAAGAGCCGACAACACGGCCAGTGTCACAGGACCAGGCACGGAGACTCAGATTTCTAATAGGCTCCCAAGTGCCTGCGCCTCCTGCGCTGGAGGGAGGAAGGTAACCGTGTACTCGGGTTTGGGAGCAGCGCCGGGCAACCTGAGACTCACGCTTCTCACACCACTGTGGTTTCGAAAGGAACGTTTCAAAGACCCCTTTCTCTCTAAGTTCAAGGAAAGAAAAGAGAAATCAGAGAGAGGATAAGAGATAAGAGAGGCCAGTGGGTTTTTCTTTTTCTTTCTTTTTTTTGTCCCAGCCACACAATTGGCCCCTTCACTGAGATGTCTCTGTTACCTGATTTGCAAGTCAGTATGTAAGTTTTGAAAAGAGCTAGGGGGCCTCCCACTTTCTGAGAGCACAAACATTCCAGCTCACTTTTCACCCGCCCTTGGCCCGGGTTCCGAAACCCCAGCACAGGGAGAGGCCACAGGTATGCAGACCATGAGAGGCGTCAGAGCCGGCTGGCCTGGGCAGGGCACCGGGACCAGTGGGCATCCGATCTCCGACCTGCAGAGCAGGACCTGAGTCCAGGGAGGAACCAGCTCTAGGTCACAGGCCAAACAGAACCGGACCAGAACCCCCGTCCGCGGTCCTCTCTGTTATACTCTGTGAGTCCGTATCCTCCAGTTTTAATTTTTGTTTCACAAGCACTCATATGGCACTTCCCAAGAGTTCACATCGTAGTTCACCGTAGTGCTTCATGGCAGTCTCCAGGAGCACAGTTTGAGCCACCGACGCGCCCTGGTTCTGTAGCTGGGGAGGGTGCTCTGTG